TAAATGATTTACAGCACCCGTTTCTTTCTATGCTGAGAAAGCCTGAAATGCTGAAAAAAGTTCTTAATCAACAGGTTTTATGGTTGTTTTCTTCAATCTGTTTAGGAAGATGTGCAGATTTCCTTCTCTTTGGGATCAGGATTAAAATCTAGTCCATGTTCTTTCCGGTAAAAATGAGAAACTTGAGGGAGCAAGCAATAAGAGTAGCAACATGCAACGCAGAGCGTAAACAGATTTTTGCACATAAAATATTTACACTTGTGAACAAGTTCATTTTACCCCCAGTTTGTGACTGCTTTGTCCATCAGTTGAACGGTACATTTTATGCAGCTCTCAAAAAGATACTGCTTGAGACAGCATTTCAAAATGCCATAAATAGATGCCCTTAAAGTTGCATGCATAGACCCATGGAGTTCGTCAGTCTGTGATATGTGCGCGCAGGTCAGTTGCCAATGCTTTAGGTTCCTGTTAGATTTATAATAGTCTTAGCAAAGCAAGAGCAAAGCGTGCTGCTTATATACTGCCAGATGGTGCTTAAAGTGCTTTCTGAGTGGTTTGCAAATGAATTATGCAGGCTGTACATCCCCCCCCCCCCAAGGAGCTGGGTACCCAATTTACCAACCTTGAAAGGATGGGAGGTTAAGTGAGCCTTGAGCTGGCTACCTGAGCCCAGAAGTCAACTCAGGTTGTGAAGAGTCACTGCAGTACTGCATAATCATGTGTTTTTTAAAAAAAAACATACACTGTCATCTCTCAGCTTAAATAAGTGAACATGCAAGATTAACATATCTGAGTGTGGAAGTCTCCTGCTGAAGTCACGTTCCAGAGTTCTATAGGCAATGCCTGGGTATTAGCTTCACCTAACAGTTCAGGTGCTGGACTGGTTACAAAGTTTGCATCTGACTCCAAGAATTTAAGGAGTAATTTTCATTGAACATCACCTCTTATTTTGCAGTTCCCTACAAGTACTGTAGCTTTTCCCAGTAAGTGTGAAAGTGTGGGTAGGTGTATGAGTGGGTATCAAGGCTCATTTGTATTATGTTTTCAGATGAATTAATTTCCAGAAACCTATGTCATATTTAGTTGATCTTATCTTCTTAATGCACAGTTTTGACTGGCAGGAACTATTCATCCTCAGAAGTGGTGTTATTGTTTTTGTCACCTGGGTCTCGCCAGTGGTGTAAGGCTCTGCAGTGTGCCAGGGATTCCATGCTAGCTCCTCAGAATGCATATAGGTTACTACTTACCGTTTTAATTATTACAACTATCTCATTAAATCCTCAATTTTTTTAGTGAGGTATTTAAAGTCTACCTACCTGAACTGCCTTAAGTGGCAGATTTAATGCAGTTTCCTATTCAGAAAGGCACTGCCCATGTGAACAGGGGGTGCTGGAAACCCTTGTTCATATGTTTTTGCACTGCCCACTTCACTTGATCAGCCAATCAAGGTTAATAGCCCCAATTTTATTAAAGCTGGAAGGGAGGTCAGATCTGGATAAAGTTTGCTATATGATGATGGCTGAGATGACTGGCATTGTAGAAAAAGTCACAGACTTCCTTCCTTGATACTATTGTTAGGAGACAAACCATTGTCCCTTTAAGGATGTCTAACACTTTTCTGCCCTCTTGATATCTATATACTATGTAGTTACCTAACAAACCACCCCGGGAGGCAGTGGAAGACAGGAGGGCCTGGCGTGCTCTGGTCCATGGGGTCACGAAGAGTCGGACATGATTAAACGACTAAATAACAACAACAAACCACCGTGACTATGTCAGATTTTTACTTATGGAAATAAAGGTTGTATCTATCTATCTATCTATCTATCTATCTATCTATCTATCTATCTATCTATCTATCTATCTATCTATCTATCTATCTATCTATCTATCTATCTATCAGTGGTTATCTATGCTACAGAAACAGAAATTTCTGGAACAGAGAGATCAGTCTGTCTCTATTCCAGGTACCTTCTCAGTACCTAACCAATCTAACCTAACCAAACCTAACCAAACCAATTTAACAACAAGGGCAATTAAAGAGTCATAAAACTGATATACCTAGGTGGTAAAGATGTATCTCTTATACTTTTTCCCTAAAAGCTGGAAATCCAGACTAGCTGAAACAACAGGTGGCAGCATGGCTAAAATTCAAGCAAAACCCAGCCAGCTAGATAATGTAACAATTGTACCCTTACCCTTTTAATTTCTCACCGGTTTTCTGCTCTCTCCATCTGCACTAATTTCTCACCGGTTTTCTGCTCTCTCCATTTGCACTATTCATTCAGTGTTCTACTCTCTTCATTTTGCTGCCCCCACAACACAAGCAACAGGAGTTCTCATTTGCTCTCAAAAGATGCATATAAGTACAGTTAGGAACAGGCATGTTAAGTAGGTTAGTTTTAGTCTCACCTGAAACCAGTGACAAGTATTTGGACAAAGGCTTACTTTCCTACTTTGGAGATCTTACTCTTGAGAAGCTGTCATCTCTCACCTTGTTACTTAGCCAGTGATTTGGACACTGGAGATCTTATTTTGTTTGTTTCATTCCCAGGCTGCATTTCTCCCATGCCTCCCAAGATTTTAAAAGTTTCAGACCTTTAGATTTCATGATCCCTGTTCTGTGATGGAAACAAACACCCCTTTTCATTACAAATCCATTGTCAAAATATTTAGACAAGCTAGTGAGCCATCCAACCCACTGCCACTCTTCTTGAAGCTGACTGTGCCCCAGTTCTCTCAAGAGTACATAACACAGTCAAACCCAGAATGTGTGGGGAAATAAGCAATACTCACTTGAGTATTAAGCAGAAGCCCTATTGCATTTTTGCTCATCCTGGCCAAACTGCGACCATGGAAGCTGACACACATTGTCCCCTAACCCCTGAAAAATCAAGAGTCTCATTGTGTGCTCATTATGAATTAAGAATCTGTGGAACAGGGAAGCTGAATTGGGCTCCCATCTGTACTCCTTTTTCAGCAAGATAATTCTTACAAGGATTGACTACCTGTATAGATTGCTATCAAATAGGCACTGAAGCTTGGGAACAGCAACATCTGTATCAGAAGAAACTATATGTTAAGTTGACCAATTGAAATCATCCTTGACCTACAGCGGCATGGGCATCTTGTCTCCTTTACAAATGTAGTAAGAGTATAACTCCCTTAACCGTTAATCATACTGGCTATGGCTGATGAGACTAAGTCCAACATCTGAAGGATCCCAAATTGCCTGTTTCTGGACTACAGTAACTATGGGTTCTTATCTCTGTGCCCATGGATGACTCAAATGCAAAACATAAGACTTCTAGGTTGGGATAGGCTACACCTATTGGATATGTACTGCACAGACACTGCCTGCACAAGCAGATCCAAGAGAACAATGGAAAGCTCCTCCAGAATGAATAGATTCTGATCTGACATTCCGGCTTTTCATGTATACAGTGGTGCCTCGCATAGCGATCGCTCCGTATAGCAATTAAATCGCTTTGCGATGGACTTTTTGCCATCGCAAGAGCAATTGCTTTGCAATGGTCCCTATGGGGAAAATTTGCTTTGTGATTATCGTGGGGAAGCGATCATCGCAAAACCCCCATTTTTGCACAGCTGATCAACGGTTCCAAAATGGCCACCCACTGTTTTGCCTGGCTTTAGAGGCACCGAAAATGGCCGCCACTATGGTGGATCTTCGCTTTAAGGTTAGTTTTAAGCCCATAGGAATGCATTGAAGTGGTTTAAATGTGTTTCTATGGGCTTAAATGTGTTTCTAATCGCTTAGCAGCGATTTTTGCTGCACGGATTAACATCGCTAAACGAGGCACCACTGTACTTTCTAACTTTAACTCTAAACTAAAGAAATGTTAAGAGTTGGACTGGAATGTAGGCACACAAAACAGGGCTTGCATGAAAGAGTGTTCTATTCCCATCTTGCCAACGGCAATCCTTTTAGCCTTCTGAAAAGTGCTACACATGGGACTAGGAGATCCTGTTTAATAGGATAGGCCATTGTGCAGAGGAAACGGGGATCACCCAAATCATGTGGCAGAATTTGACATGAATAAAGCCAATCTACCAACTGAGAGCGGGTAGTGAAACTTTTCCAGGGTCTCTTTACTTTTGCTTGATCTCCCTGGTTACTACATGAAAGAAACAAAAGTATCTGAACGAATCAGCTTCACACTGGCCACAGTGCTATCCATTAATCAGTGTTACTACTGGTGGTGAATGTCTAGTGTCAGATTTTTATTTTATTTTTTTCACAAAGTTAGCATGTTTTCTAGTTTCTCCTGAAAAAACTATGACGTGCTAACCCTGCACTGTTATAAACCCTAAGCTAGTTGTATCAATTGTGTTTCAACCACAGGACAGTATACATGAAAAGCAGGAATAAATACTCAACTATCCAACAAACAGCAACAGAACATGGACAGTTCCTACTCCAGTCCTCTGAAGATGCCAGCCAGAGAGAATGGTGAATGTCAGGAAGAACAACCTTCAGAACATGGCCAAAGAGCTCGGAAAACCCACAACAACCACAGGACAGGTTGCTACTCTTTTTCTTCAAAGCATGTCTACCATTATTGTCTGGAATTATATTTATAAAGCCTTTGTTAACACCATCTTCTGACAGAAGGTAGCTAAGATATTTTGTGATTTTTAAGACTCTAAAGATCAACATAGGAACTTGAGGATGATTGAGGTAATGGGTTTTTCTACCACAAACACCCAAATATTTCATTACAAAGTGTCATGGTAATTTGGAAATCCAAACAAGTCATATAGCCTAAGTGTCTGCTAGAATATAGGTTGTACTGTTGAAATAAATCCAAAAGATCTTGCAACAAACATTTTGGGAACCCCAAGTTACCAAATATTGTTAAGAACAATATTAAGAATTTTATAATGTAGTAAAGAACACAATGTTGTTAAATATCACTTTCCATTCTTTAAAAGCAAGACTGTACAGTAATGTTCTGTAAAAAAAAAAATTCAATATATCACACATAATTTAAATTCTTTAATGTTATTCTCTACAAAGATGTTCGCTCTTCATCAGTATTGACCTTACAGAGATACAGAACGTTAGCAACATCCCTTCATGCATGTGTTCAAAGAACAAGATATTTAAATAGGTTAAAAATTTACACCACACACAACAGTTGTCTTTGTATCCAACTTCATATTGGATTAAGGGTACAGTAGTGGCTTTCTGTTCTTCCACAGAATATCACATAATAGGGTTGTGCTGTTTGTGGTTCCAGGGAAAGAAACAACTACCTCCTTTTCCCCACCCCACTTTTCCCTGCTTTACTGCTGCCGCCACTGGACTTGCTAGAAGATTTTGATGAGAAAAGTCTTGTCATAAACTCCGAGACATCGGGCAGTTCGTGGTTAGAATTTAACATATTCATTGATTGCTCCATTTCCTAGACACACAGAAACAGAGAGAAGTGTGTGTAAATGAAAACTATTGCCAAATCATATAGAAAGATAAATCTAGAGGGTTCATTGCTCACCAACTAGTCATGTCATTTTGTAGCTGCTCTCTAACATACACCCCCACTACAGACTCCTTTGTACAGCCACAGTCTAAACTATAACTTAAAAAATAAATTGGTTGTAGTACAGATAAAAATTAAAAGAATGGTCTAAAAGCAAATAGCTTAGATCACAATGTCTAAAGTAGTCTTACAGGGAAGCGATTTGCTATACATGACAGAATCCTGTTGGTAAAACTTACATAATAGTACTTGTGCAAGCTACTCTCCCTTTGATGAGGGGTGGCATACTGATTGTGGAATTGGTTGTGTGATGGACCTTCCAGAAAAAGAGGGAACCACTTATGTGATTACTGTTATGTGTCTTTTTCCAACAGGATTCTCGCTTTAAAAGCTCATATATTGTTGAAGTGTCTCCGATGTTAAATCTAAGACAGTTTACTGAAAACTAAACAGAAATAGTTAAAGCTTCACTTAAAACATAATGGCCAAAATCCTGTTGCTTTATTTTGCTTCAGAATCCCCACGGAGACCAGCTAGAAGGCACAGAAAGCAACACTATGTGCCTTCTTCATGTATTATAAAGCAACAGGATTTCAGCCAATGAAATACCATATTTTTCCATTTATAAGACATCCCTGTTTATAAGACACCTCCCACACACTTTTCTAACCCCCAAATTAAGAAATCTTAACTTAGTTTTGAGTATTCAGCCTCTGGGCTCAGAACGCTCGGACATTACGAGTCTCTGTTGAATCTGAGCCTACAGGCTCCACCTCCAACAAGGAGTGTTCCAACTGGTTTGTTCAGCATCAGCTGACATCAGTTCCATAAAGGCTCATGATTGGAGGAAGCTAAGTCTCCTGACTGTAGGAAGCTGAGCCTCGTGATTGAAGGAAGCCTGTTTACAGAGGCAAAGTAGAGGCAGTTTTGTTCTCTCCTCAGCTTACTTCCGTGTATAAGAAGCCCTTCAATTTTTAGTGCAATGATTTTAGGAAAAGTAGAGTCTTGTACACAGAAAAATACGGTAGTATTCTAAAATATTTTTTCTCAATATTAATTTTCTTTCACCAACTGTATTTTATTCCAACTATCTAGCAATTGGCATAAAAGGTGGGTAACTCGTGACTCTTTGCTCTGGAATTACAGCTCTTAGCATCGCTTACTATTGGCTCAACTGGACAGGACCGATGGGAAACAGAGTCCAACAATATTTTGAACACCACTTCATCCCAACCCTGCTGTATGGGAAAACTGATATGACTGAGGCTTATGAGATAGTGGGATAGATCCAATTCATTTTTCATTGCACTTCCAAAATTTAATGCAATTTTACTTCCATGATAGCCTATCAATTTCTTCCATGGAGGATGCACATCATGAGATTTCCATTAGGCAATCAATGTATTACTCAAGAAGAGCATTCTGCACATTAGTTCAGCAAATGGATGCATCTGAGTTCACTATAGGCAGCTTATCTTCCATTTTTAAGTCTGTTAAACATTTGTAATGCAATATTATGCATGTTCATTCAGAAGCAATTCCCACTTTTGTCAATATGCAGAGAACTGCAAGCTGATTTAAACTAGAAGCACTGTGTATCTTAATATCTAGCGATTACTGAAGTATATTACTGTATAAACTGTAAATCCTGACACCTGTAACGAACTACTGAAGACAGTGATAATTCAGAAGAAAGGAAAATCAATCACAGAGAGCCAAAAGCAGCAGCCAAGGACAGACAGTAAGCACTCTAAACAGAGAAGATTTAGTAAACACCTTGAATCTCCATTTTGTTCTAGCCTTCCGCTATTCAGCATAATGCATGGTGAAAGGACAATATGTTAGGATAATTAAATGTATCATATTTTAAACTTCCAGTTACCATGGATTTGTCATATCAGAAGATGACTAAGATATGAATTCTTGTTCTAATTACAACAAGCAAAGAGAAGATGTCACTATAAGTTGGCAGGAAAAAAAACCCTGAAGATATATAACGTGGGAAGAGACTGATGGCCTGTTCTTCTAGGAATCAAGATCTATTGCAATGCTTTCATGGCAAGGTATGACTCAATTATACTTTGCCACACTGATAGCAGAATGATGCTTGAACTAACATCACATCAGCCCAAGCAATCAACAAAGGAAGAAAACCACAGATGCTCAAATTTATATACATGTATTATTTTTGCTCGGTGGCTTTGATGAATTATTATATCTTTTCATGGGGACTGGGGCCATTCCCAGTACCAGCAGCAATGACTTTTTAGGCAAATGCTAAATTTGCTATAAGGAAAGGAACTGACTCTTTTGGCTTAATTCAATAAACTTGAATTAAGAAAGAGGTGCTGTACGAGTTTTTGTTGTTCCGAACACCCAAATGGAAAAGCAGTCTGCCTTCCAAATACAGCTTCCAATCAACTCTCAATTATGACGTAAGTGAATAAATGTTTTGTTCTGGAACTTCAAAACACACTGCAAACTCTTTTTTCAAAAGGCAATAGAAAGTCAGAACACTTCGTTGAAATCAGGGAAACTATCCAACAACCACTCTCTCAAGCACAACAAGCTCATTCAGTCTTTTCACATTTGAACCTGCATCTTCCACAGCCCCTTTCAAACCCACCTTTTCTGTTGTTTTACCGTAGCAGCTTCTACCTCATTCTTGACCAAGTATAAAGCAGTGAATAAAATATATGCAATACATACTGTGCATATGATTTTTTTCCTGCTTATCATTATCTTAGACATGAATTTCTAGTTGCAAATTTGAGGCTCTTAAACATTACTGAGGACTCATCTTATTGGCTGACAACAATACTTCTAACTAGAAGTAATTTGAATGACCATTAGTATGTCCCTGGAACTTTCTATTGTATGTAAAGGGGTGACTGGGGGGGCACATTATTCATAATATATTATAAAATAGGCTTACTCACCCGCCTCATATCAGGATCACTTGTGTTGACAACTTTAGGCAATAATACAAAGATCAACAATGGAAGGATCATCATCATAACCTTGAATATTGAAATTCAAAAGACATTGTTACTTTATCTTTCAGCTTATTCAGATGAGAACAAAAAATGAATGACAGCACTTTCAGAGTATTCAACTACTCATGGAACTTCAAAACTTCTGCTATATCATGAATAGCCAAAGCAGAAGAATCTAGCATTAATCCTGAACATGACTAACTAATATATTCTTAGAACTTTGTAGTGATTATCACATTGTCTAATGGCAACTAAAACTATCCTTTTCTATAACAAAGCATGGTACCTAGAAATACTGAATGCATACTGACAGATTTTGAAGAATCTCAAAGCTATGAATCTTTATGATGAGGAAATGGCAAAGGCTAACTTAGGTCTCAAGCCCAGGTTTCAATTACCTTCAACATGTCTCTCATGTAATCAGTAAGGTTATGTGCCAAATGAAAGATAGAACAGAGAATTCTACATTTGGAGCACTGTTTCCAAACTGGAATGCACCTATTTTATTTATTTATTTATTGGACTTATATACCGCCCCATAGCGCTACAAGCACTCTCCGGGCGGTTTACAATTTTTAATTATACAGGCTACACATTGCCCCCCCAGCAAGCTGGGTACTCATTTTACCGACCTCGGAAGGATGGAAGGCTGAGTCAACCTTGAGCCGGCTACCTGGGATTTGAACCCCAGGTCGTGAGCACAGTTTTAGCTGAAGTACAGCGTTTTAACCGCTGCGCCACGAGGCCCCTAGAGCAGGGGTGGGCAATTAAATTCTATGGGGGGACCACATGAAAAATCTGAACTATGTTCGAGGGCCGAACCAACTTTACTTAAAAATAAAATGAAACAGTAATGTTATGATTGTTTTTATTTTAAACTTGTTAATCTTCACAAATACTAAAGAGGTTTTTTTGTGGTACAGTCATGCCCCACTTTATGATTGCCCTGCATTACGACGATCTTTTTGCGATCGCAATTGCGATTGCGATTGCGAAACAATGGTCTGAATAGGAGTTTTTCACTTTGCGATGATCAGTTCCCTGCTTCGGGAACCGATCCTTCGCAAAACGACGATTTTCGGGCAGCTGATCGGTGGTTTCAAAATGGTCGCCAGGTAAATAAAATGGCTCCCCGCTGTTTTCTGGGATGGATTCCTCGCTGCACAGGCACCGAAAATAGCCGCCCTATGGAGAATCTTCACTGGACAGTAAGTTTCCAGCCCACTGGAATGCATTGAAGGGGTTTAAATGCATTTCAATGGGCTTTCTATTTTCGCATTACAACATTTTTGTTCTACAGCGATTTCGCTGGAACAAATTAACGTCGTAATGTGAGGCACCACTGTATGTTAAAGATAAGCAACTGATCAACTTTAGACAAATAGATATAAATGGTTTCGCTGTTCAAAACTGTCCGGGGGCCAAACAAGAGCTGCTTGTGGGCCGTATGTGGCCCTCGGACCGCACTTTGCCCAGGTCTGACCTAGAGGATACCAACTGGCATGATTAGATCAATGTATGAGAAACAGTTGAGTACATTTGAGAAGATTGAAGGGACAGAAAAGACAGTGGTCTTCAAGCATCTAAAGCACTATCAAGCAGAATATGGAATAATTTTGTTCTCTCTTGTTCCATAGAGCAAGTCTAGAAGCAATAGGTTGAAATGTTGCAGGGTGATGTGTCTTAGTTCAGAATTACCGAAATCTTACTAATGATAACAGCTGGTACAGATTGCTTCAGAATATGTTGGTTTGATTTCACTGGAGATATTTTAGCAGAGGGTGGATGGTTAACTGTTTTTGATGTGCTGTTAGAACCTGGTTCAACACTGGTGAGGACAGGATGAACTGTCAGATCCCTTTCAGGTCTATCATACAATGAATGTTGATGCTGTTTAGTCGTTAAGTCATGTGCAACTCTTCGTGACCACAGCATGCCAGGCCCTCCTGTCTTCCACTGCCTCCCCGAGTTGGGTCAAATTCATGTTGGTTGCTTCAATGACACTATCCATCCATCTCGTCTTCTGCTGTCCCCTTGTCCTCTTGCCTTCACACTTTCCCAACATCAGGGTCTTTTCCAGGGAGTCTTCTCTTCTCATGAGATGGCCAAAGTATTGGGGCCTCAGTTTCAGGATCTGTCCTTCCAGTGAGCACTCAGGGTTGATTTCATGCAAAATGGATAGGACTGTTCTCTTTGCAGTCCAGGGGACTCTCAAGAGTCTCCTCCAGCACCAAAGTTGGGGGGACTCAATTCTTCAGCGGTCAGCCTTCTTTATGGTCCAGCTCTCAGTTATACATTGCTACTGGAATAAACATAGCTTTGACTATGCAGACCTTTGTCGGCAAGGTGATGTCTATGCTTTTTAAGATGCTGTCTAGGTTTCTCATTGCTTTCCTCCCAAGAAGCAGACTGCAGTGATCATGGAGCCCAAGAAAGTAAAATCTGTCACTGCCTCCATATCTTTCCCTTCTATTTGCCAGGAGTTGATGGGGCCAGTGGGCATGATGAAAGGTTTTTTTGATGTTAAGCTTCAGACCATTTTTGGTGCTCTCCTCTTTCACCCTCATTAAGAGGTTCTTTAATTCCTCCTCGCTTTCTGCCATCAGAGTGGTATCATCTGCATATCTGAAGCTGTTGATATTTCTTCCAGCAATCTTAATTCCGGCCTGGGATTCATCCAGTCCTGCCTTTCGCATGTATTCTGCATGTAAGTTAAATAAGCAGAGGGACAATATACAGACTTGTCGTACTTTTTTCCCAGTTTTGAAACAATCTGTTGTTCCATTTCCAGTACTAACTGTTGCTTCCTGTCCCACATATAGATTTCTCAGGAGACAGATAAGGTGGTCAGGCACTCCCATTTCTTTAAGAACTTGCCATAGTTTGTTGTGGTCCACACAGTCAAAGGCTTTTGCATAGTCAGATACAATGAATAGCACATTGATTTAATTCAATAGCCCATATGCACTTTGCACAGAACAGAACTTATCTCCTTCCGTGTGGAATTCTGTATTTGTTCAAATATTATCATGCACAGAATGAGCAAAAGTATTAAAAAACTATCTTGTGAATACCCAGTAGTTTCCAGCCCCTAGTCATCACTGATGTCAAAAGCCTAAAAGACTATACAGAATGTATAGGTGGCAGAGGGCTCCCCCACCTCCAAATGCCACCACAAACACCAGTCTTGGTGACATATCCAGACTAATTTCAATGGAGCCAATAAACCCTGTTGTAAAAATTTCACCAAAACAAGAAATACAGCAAAACTACTTCATGCTGGACTTAATGACCACAGATTTTATGTAGTTAGTATCTTCCTCCTTTGCAAAATACTTTTATTACCCTCGTTAGAACTTCATTTAGTAGGTTTATCACAGTCCAGCCAGGTATAGCACCAATTCTAGAAGTGGTGGCTTGTGTAATGAAAAGTTCCAGTCAACTTGCAATTTGATGGGGATTTACTAGTCAGGTCACCATCCCAGTCTTTCAAAAAATACACACTGATAATATATATATATATTAATAATGGAAGTGCCTATTTACAGGTGGTTCAGGTCATCAATTTAATATAGTGAAGTGGGAATCCATGGCTGTTCTGACAACCAAGAAGTACATGGACAGGATCACACTGTAAACCAATACATTTTTATAACTACAACAGTTACTTCCAGTTGATTATTAAGGGATTAAGAGAAATCCCTCTTAAGATTATGTAAACATCTACCTCTCTTGAGATGCCTCTCCTAAATACTTTTCTGAAAACAAGCCTTATTTAAATGTGCATTAGGTCTCTGAAGAAATGACATAATAAGCATAAAGCCCATTCAATGTTTGTCCTACGTGCAAAAACAGCTCCTGAACTTTATATTAAATAGGTAACTTCCTGCAAGAGCCAGTGTGATGTAGTAGATAAAATGTCAGCTAAGTCTCCGGAGACCCAGGTTCAAATCCCTACATCACCATGGAAACTCAAGGAAGAGTAGAAATGCTAGATCACTTCTCTGAATATCTTACAAATCTTGAAAATCCTATTTGGATCTTCATGAAGCAGAAGCAACTTGACAGAGAATAACACACTGAAATAACTGGCATATCAGTTTATGCCTACATACCATGGGGTTCATCAAGAAGTCTGTCCATCCCCAAGACTCCCTCTTTATGAAATATGAAGGAGGTCCAGAGGATTTCATCTGAAGTGGGTATGGCAGTCTGACTACTTCTGATGTTTTGATGTAATTCACATATCTTGCTCTAGCAAAAAAAAAAATCAAAAGCATTTTTGATACAATTACTACAACAAAACCCACTTAATTATCTTGGCTTAATTTTTTTTCCTACTGGTTCATCTATATTTCATTTATAATCCTGTGAACTGTTAACCTGGTTAGCAGCAGGCAGCTATGCAGTGAACACAGTGAGACTGTCCCATAGTGTTCAACACGTCTTATGCCAAAAAAAGTGCTTAGGAATACAGCTTAAATGTATCGGACATCATTATGACTCTAACCTGATGCAGGTTTCCAGACGTATTTAGCTGCTAATTCCAATGATTGTGTGTTAGATGACAATTTAAACAATGCCTGCATGAGACTCTTTAGTGCAATTTCATTTCCCCAGAATAGGCCCTATGGAGATAGTAGACAGCACTGCACCACACCCCACAAAGACAATAACAGCATAAAAAACTTTTTTGAATATATTGTATGTTGTTTTGCAAACGCAATTCAGTGTGCATTAGACCAGTGGTCCCCAACCTTGGGCCTCCAGATGTTCTTGGACTACAACTCCCAGAAGCCTTCACCACCACCTCTGCTGACCAGGATTTCTGGGAGCTGAAGTCCAAGAACATCTGTAGGCCCAAGGTTGGAGACCACTGCATTAGACAAACTAAACTGAAATATTCCTGATTACCATCATATCAAGTCAACACTAAGTAACTGTAAACAACTAGTATTTCTCTGTTGAATGTTACAAGATCAAAAAGGTTTACATGAGCCAAAGAAACCACGGCCCAAATACTCTTAACAGTAACACCATATTACATATATTACATTCTATCACTCAACAGAAATTTTGTTAATGTTAGCCATGTGCTTGTTGTTGTTGTTGTTTAGTCGTTAAGTCATGTCTGACTTTTCGTGGCCCTATGGACCAGAGCACGGCAGGCCCTCCTGTCTTCCACTGCCTCCCAGAGTTTGGTCAGATTAATGTTGGTAGATTCAGTGACACTGTCCCACCATCTCGTCCTCTGTCATCCCCTTCTCCTTTTGCCTTCACACTTTCCCAACATCAGGGTATTTTCCAGGGAGTCTCTTCTTCTCATGAGATGGCCAAAGTATTGGAGCCTCAGCTTCAGGATCTGTCCTTCCAGTGAGCACTCAGGGTTGATTTCCTTCAAAATGGATAGGTTTGTTCTCTTTGCAGTCCAGGGGACTCTCAAGAGTCTCCTCCAGCACCACAATTCAAAAGCATCAATTCTTTGGTGATCACCCTTCTTTATGGTAAGAAGCAGGTGTCTTTTAATTTTGTGGCTGCTGTCGCCATCTGCAGTGATCATGGAGCCCCAGAAAGTAAAATCTGTCACTGCCTCCATATCTTCCCCTTCTATTTGCCAGGAGGTGATGGGATCAGTGGCCATGATCTTAGTTTTTCTGATGTTGACACATGCTTTTAAATTAGAACATTTAAAAAGATGGCCATGAACTTAGTTTTTTTTTTTTTTTATGTTGACACATGCTTTTAAGTTAGAACATTTAAAAAGAGATGAAGACAAAATAAGTGTAGAGTTTTGTTTTCACTATATCCGTGGATATCTGATAAAACTTGTAATAAATCTTTATCTGAAGAATATCTGCGTGCATACATTTTAAAAAGAATTATTTTAATCAACTTTCACCCTGTAGCCGGCAGCAGTTCTATTTTCAGATATATCAACTTACTAAACTAATGGAATATACTCATTTCTTTATAATGAAAAAATGTGATAAATTATGAAAAATAATTTATGATTTTACAGGAAAAGCTATCACAAGCACATAGGAATTACTCAAAAAATGCTCTTGAAAACAAATCTATATTGAAACTTACAATTCCTAAGAGAGTACTTTCTGACAAAACCTGCATCCTTAAGACAGTCATAAACCAATCAACTGTTAAAATGCATTTAACTAAATGTGAAGCTTCCAACAGGAGGGAGTTTTACAGGTGAAGATGGACAGAAGTCTAGATAAGGGCACATCCATGAGCAGAACCATGTCAATTAAAAAATTAACAAATAATTAATTTAATGGTCATTCCCTGCTTCAAAGCTTGTTGATCATGTTTGATTGTATGTACCTTGACAAATGTAAATGCAAAATGAAAAACCATGTTTTTCTGGTTTCTTGCAGACAACAAACTGTATGACGCCCGTAGTATCAACAAATAATTTCACTGAGTTGCAAAGTCTTGCAGAACAATCAGCTTGTTTCATTACCGCTCTCTCTCACACACACACACACAGAACACTGATTCGAGTCAATATAATTTTTGAAACCTCACCTCATTTTCCCTTTTGAAGTGATGTCTACTCTTACTGGTTCAAATTTATATGCTGGGGATATTACTTCAACTACGTAGGATCCAGAAGGAATATCATGAACCACAAAGCTTCCATCTGTCCTGATACAATGAAAGCAACCACAGCTTTAATTCCACCACTGTAGAAATACAATAGTTCAAAACAATTGTCATACTTAAAAGAAAGGAGAGGTTAGTCCTTTCCTACTTCCATGAAACTACAGAATCAGGTTCATTGATCAATAATAAATCAGGATCATTGAATAAAATGAGAGCACCACAAGACAAAAAAACAAATGAGCTAATAAAGAGAAGTAAAAAGACAAATACTGCTCTTTGGAACCCTTTAAACATACCATAAATCCACTCCTTGTTTTACACTTTAAACATCTTTTAAAAAGAAACAAATAAAACAGAAGTGGACTTCCACCGCTCTCCAGATTAATCCTGCCCACACTGTGGAGGTGGTATAGGATCCAGAGGGCTCCCAAAGTGTAAAACAGGATCTTGGATTCCAGTTATTTAACATCAAGTTGGGATTGACTTACAGCAATCTTAATAAGGATTTCAAGGTGAGCGAGATATTCCCCATTCCTGTGAGTTTCTGTGGCCAAGAGGGGATTCAAGCCCAGGTCTCCAGAGTCCTAGTCTGTCCCTCTATCCACTACACCATTTTTGACATCCCTCTTGGATTCCTAGAGCCTGTCTATGATATATCAAGAATCAGAGACTATATGCCTAGATACCAGCTGCTGGAAAGGGAAAATGGGAGGAAACTGTTTCATTTGCATCCTACTTACATGCTTCCCTGAAGCATCTAGACAACCCTTGTGGGAACTAAAAACTGTCTGAGAGGGCTCTTTGGTCTGACTTCTACCACAAATGATTTAACCTAATCCTCACTTCCAACTGTGCCTGGCCACATGATTGCTTTCAAAGATTCTAAGTGTATGACAATACATAGGCCGGGCACAGTACATGGGAAAGGTGCTTTTAATGTACAGGATCCAAAGGTAAGGGTGAGTGATACCCTTATTAGATCACTAAAAAATCATGAACAAAAGCTAGCTTTCAATCCTGTTTAGGCATTCATCAGACTGGACACTATAGCCTGATGAAGATCTGTGTACAGGGTCAAAACCTATTTTCTGCTGTGATTTTAAATTATCTAGTAAACGTATCAACCTCTCTTCTGACTTTGTACAAGAACCACAAAATTTTTTATTTTTTCTTGTTAAAGTACAGATAACAAAGCACAGTCTTCACTTTTGATGCAGAGCATCTGGTGTGCAAAGAGCAGGAAATGTAACTCATTAGTATTTTATATGTTTATGCCCCCCCCAGGAATCCCTGTTCACACCATAAGAAGTTCATACAGCAGTTCAGGGTAGAATAAGGAAAAGTATGAAGACTTGAGGACATTGATGTAATAAACCGTATCATGGCCTCTCCCGTTTTGAAGAGACACTTGTCCAGCAGGCTGAGGCAAAGAGGCAGTCCTGAAACCAGCAAAATCAGAAAGCTGGACAGGGGACAGATTTTATTTGTCTTCAATGTGAAAGGGATTGTCACTCTCATATTGGCCTTCTCAGCCACACTAGACGCTGTTCCAAGACCTCTACTCAGAGTATGTCACCATAATTGCGCGAGACTAAAGGGTGCCTAATCTAATTTACTTGGACACATCTGAAAAATTGCATTACATACATAATTGCAAAAAAATCTTCCCGTTGGCTGGGAGAAAAAATTATCACGGAAACCTGGCAACTTTTGTTTCTAATACTGAAATTCCACTGAGACACATAATTACACTAAAAAGTCCTTTATCCAATTCTGTTTGTGTTTTGCCACTAAGGAAAAACATCTGTAGTTAGATGGCCATGTCATAGCCAAGCTAGTCAGAAGTTTAATAACTGGGAGACACATTTCACCACATATTCCACTGAATGTAATGACAAATCCAGACTGGATTTTAAAAATTGCAAATTGATTTTAATATTAAAGTTGTATTTTTAAAATTTAAATTGGATTTTTAAAACTTATTGTTAAAGTGCTTTAAAAAATCTCTATGATGGTAATTTTAATTTCAAGTGTGCTATAGCTCAAACATCATTAAAGAATCATCATCACCATGATGATGTGCCACCGATTTAAATTGGATTTTTAAAACTTATTGTTTAAGTGCTTTAAAAAATCTCTACGATGGGAATTTTAATTTCAAGTGTGCTATAACTCAAACATCATTAAAGAATCATCATGATGATGATGATGTGCCACCAAGTCAATTTTAATTTATGGTGACACTTTCCATAGTTTTCCAGGCAGTGAATACTTGAAAGGGGTTTATCATTCTTCTGGAGGTGCCCTGGACCTCTGTGGCCTGCCCAGGGGACGTACATTCTAATATTACAATATTACATATTACAATACATGCCATTAAGTCACCTCCAACCTATGGAGACCCTGGAAATAAGTGATGTCCAAAATGTACCGTCCTCAACAGCCCTGCTTGTAAGCAGCCTCTTGTAAATGTAAAGCTGTGGCTTCCTTTAGGAAGTGAATTCATCTTGTATTTGCTCTTTGTCCTTTCCTGCTGCCTTCAACCTTCCTCCCATTACATACTGTCATCTTGTATTTGCTCTTCCTCCTTTCCTTCAACCTTCCCCCCATTACGTACTATCCTTTTTCAGTGAATCTTGGATTAAGTGGTCAATTGCTATGGAAATGAGATACAACAAATTTGATCATTTCCATCCCACTCTGACTGAAATTCATCCTGAAACTCTAATTTTTTTATGGCATGATATAATCTTATACATTCTTGGAAGACCTCCAAGACTGCTTTGGATAATGCTGATTCCTTTGAGTGTCTGCTTTTTGTCTCTGAAAGTGTGCAATCCTGTAAACAAGGTTAATGTAACGATAGCAAGCAACAGAGTCCTTTTGATGAGAAAATCACAATATTATTTTTTCTTACTGGTAATCAAGTTGGTTTAAATCAAAATCACCCTGGACAAATCCCAGATTTGGATGCATAGAGAAATATAAGACTTGTATCCACAGTTCCTAAAGATCTAAAACACTGTGCAGTTTCTACTGACCTACGCGACAGGGCAGAAAAGCAGAAACTGCACAACTCAAAGGGTCATGTTGTGTGAATTTCTCATATTGTGGGGAGGAAGGGTTGATATTCTTCAATCCCTATGAGGGCAGTTGTTTGTAATTTAGGCAACAAATATCCACTAACATTTACTCTTCACATTCTAACTTAACCTCATCTTCTCTAGGCTGCGAAGCAGGTAGTCTCTGGTCTCGCATTTTAACAGGAAGGAAATTAAATACAGTACCCACCTGTTGCAATAAGTTTATTATACAGTACAAGAGTCACTATGAGGGGGTGACCTAGACATGTACTCCGACTCCGTGAACAAAACTCCTTAGCACAACGGGTATCAAACGGTGACCCTTAATTGGCGGACTTCAACTCCCAGAAGTCCCAGCTTTCATGGCCGACAGTCAGGGATGCTGGGAATTGAAGTCCAAAAAATATACAAGGGCCAAAAGTTGAGAACCACCTTTGCTCAAGCTTTGTGTCAGTTGCTTTTTCTCACACAAGCTGTAAACAGAGGCTGACAGACGTGAGTTCTAGATGATGCCTTACGCTTCTTGAAGGAAAGGAGTGATTTTTAAAAAGGAAATAAGAGAAATTTAGCTTACGAATCCTGACCCCCTCCACCATCGGGGCTGCCGCCAGTTCTGCTCTTCACCGCCTTATCTCCGGGTGGAAACAGGGCCACAGAGAGAGAGAGCGAGCGAGCCCGCTCGCCCGCGCACCGATGTCTCAAGCCGAGTCAGGAAACCAGATCCGCCGAAAGAGAGAGGAAGCGCGCTGCTACTCACTTGAGGAAGCCGACATGCTCCTCGCCGTCCACCAGCACTCGAGCTCCCGCGATCCAGTCCTGGGGCTTCACTCCCGGCACCACGGCGCGACCCTCGATCTTAAACCGCTCCCCGGCGCCGACGGCCTCTCCGCTGCCACCCCCGACCTCCGAAGCCCGCGAGCTGACGGTTAACAGACATGCCAGCAGCACCGTCCCGGGCCAAGTCGCCATTCCAAGAAAGTGCGCAAGATATACCGGCAAGCCGCCAGCGAGATCTTGGGACCCAAGAACGGGCAAAAGAAAAGGCCGCCCTCCTGCACCCGCGCATGCGCCGAAGGAGCGGCGCGCCGGCCTCCGGAGGCGCCTACAGTCACGTGACAAACGGGGAAGCAGTCGTCGTCGCTGCGCCCTCCGGTTGTCAGGCTCCTAATGTCCGGGTTCTCGTTAACGCCATTTTTAAAAAGTGTTCGCGGGCGGAAGTGGGCGGTGTCCCCCCCTGAAAACAGTGCCGTAAATTAGGATTTTAGCATTCGCAGCAATGTGTCCCGCCTCCTCAAAAAGGGGAGGAGAGAAGAGGAAGGAAGGACGCAGAAATTATAGAAATTCCTTATCTCTTTAACGTTATTGTTGTTTAGTCGTGTCGGACTCTTCGTGACCCCATGGACCAGAGCACGCCAACCCCTCCTGTCTTCCACTGCCTCCCGGAGTTGGGTCAAATTCATGTTGGCAGCTTCGGTGACACTGTCCAACCATCTCATCCTCTGTCGTCCCATTCTCCTCTTGCCTTCACACTTTCCCAACATAAGGGTCTTTTCCAGGGAGTCTTCTCATGAGATGGCCAAAGTATCAGAGCCTCAGCTTCAGGTTCTGTTCTTCCGGTGAGCCTAACATAGGAATTAATTATTTTGTGGGCAATTTAAAAAAAAGATTTCATGCATTTGAACCTTGTATATAAAGCATATGGCCTCTTTACGCCCTAGGTGTTTGAGGGATAATATTCAAGTACAGCAGTTTTCAAAAATGTAGCCATGTTGGTTTGCTTCAGCACATAGGACGACAAGAAAAAAGTTGTGGCACTTAAAGCAAAGCTGCTGCTTATATACCGCCCCATAGTGCTTCAAACACACTCTGGGCGGTTTACAAGTTAATTATGCAGGCTACACATTGCACCCCCAGCAAGCTGGGTACTCATTTTACCGACCTCGGAAGGACAGAAGGCTGAGTCAACCTTGAGCCGGCTACCTGGGATTGAACCCCAGGTAGCGAGCACAGTTTTGGCTGCAGTACAGCGGTTTAACCACTGCACCACACCACAGATGGATAGGAGCAAACTTAAGAAATAAAACATTCAAAGAAATAAAACAAATGACACCAAAGGCATATTATTTGTATAACAGCAGAACAGGAGGTATGAAATCAAGTAGGGTCATTTTGGAAGGACCCCTCAAAAGCAATGTTTGAAGATGCCTTCTAAACATTAACAAGGAAGAGGTATAGTTCCAACTCTGGTTACAGAGTTGGTGCTAATGTAAAGGTAGGACCTCTCATAGATGACTTCTGTGCCTCTTTTGGAGTGACTACCCTGAGGAGAATATCCTGGGAGGATCTGGTAGGTTGGGCAGATGACATTGGCGAGAGACCCTTTAACAAGTAGTGTGATATGTAAGAGTCTTTATATGTAAGAGTCAAAACCTTGAACCTGATCCAGGACACAATGGGTAACCAGTGGAGATGAGCCAGCACTGGACGGATGCAATCAAATTTGTTCACACTAGTCATCAGTCTGGCTGTCATGTTCTGGACCTGATGTAGTCTTAAGATCAGCCTCAGGGAAAGCCCCATGTAGAGAGCATTGTAATAGTCGATCTGGAAGATAACCAATATGTGCACCAGCATCCTGAGGAAATCCTTACTTAGCTACAGGCAGAGTTGGGTGATAAGCCTCAGCTGGTTAAAGGCAGATCTGGACACAACAAAGTGTCCAGATTATGATCAATCCCTAAATGGGAGGGAAATACCATCCAGTCTAGGGGTAATCCCCCCAACCTTTCAGAGGAGCCACCAGTACCAAAATCTTTATCTTTTCTGGGTTAAGTTTGAAACCTGTTGGCCCTGGTCCATTTCAGAACCAAACCCAGGCATCACTCAAGCGTGTAAATAGTATCCACTGCAGAGATGATAATGGAGAGATAGCATTGTATGTTATCAGTATGCTAATAACACCTTACTCCAAATCTGATGACCTACTTCAGATGTTAAAAAGCACTGGGGATGTTGATGACCATCGAACCATCCCATAATTGAGGGTACAAGGAGCCAACAACTTATTCCCAAACTAGACTCTCTGGACAAGGCCATTGATGAAAAATCGGAGCCAACTCAGATGCTGGAAAAGTTGGAGTCTTCTTTTCATGATACTTTCTCAGCATTGTTGTCTTTTCCACTGAGTCTTGCCTTCTCATGATATACTGTACTCAAAATATGATAGCCCCAAACACAAGGCCTTTTAAGAGGAGTCCTGGATCTAAGACCATTCCCAAGCTGCAAACAAAGTTCTTCAGACATGTGGCCCTGAGTGGAATAGGTTGTAATCCTGTTTCCAGGTTGGATTTTCTGCTGATCAACAAAAACTCTATATTACCTAGACACAGTATTAATTTGTTCACCCCATATCCAGTATAGACATCTGCCCAAGTCAAGGTTCCCTCTAAGCCAGGTGTATATGTGCACACACAACTCCACCTTCCTCTGCCCAGCTCTGTGCAATGATCACGCTTGGTTCCAGTCATGATGGAACCCTGCCTGCGGTGGGAGGGTGACGCAGAGAGAGGCAGAGTTCCACCTAGTGGGGCTGAAAATTAGAAACTACATTGGCCCAAACTCTAAGCCTGGCAAAGATCTTCTAACCACTCAATAATTTATTCCACAGTTCTACTTTATGTAAGTTGAGCACTATATTGTCTACACTAACTGACAGTGGATATCCAAGAGTCTTTCCCAGCACTGGAGGTGGCGTCGTGAACCTGGAACTTGGCAAGTAAAAGTACCATAGGACACAGTGGGATGTCTACTGTCAGATATATGAACCAAGACTGCACATGTCTACGCTATAATTAAATTGTGCGGCAGACAAATTTAATGAAATTGGTGAATTTTATTCATGTTAATTTGAATGTGTATCTTGACCTATCCTTTATGCTCAGGGTGTCTTTATGTTGCTAATTGTGTGGGGTCAAGTCAATTCTGATTTATGGCTATCACTTCCAGGGTTTTCTCGGTAGAGAATACTCATAAGTAGATTACCATTTCCTTCTGGGGACACCTTGGACTGTGCAGCTAGCCCAAGACTACATGGACTGACTATACTGACTGTACTGTATTGTTCTTTATCTTCTTAACCTGTATCTTCCACCGACAAATGGCTTGATAGAATGAAAGAATTTTGCAATAAAATCACTGGCTAAGAAGTTTAATATATTCTGTTAGTATGTATGTGTATATAGATGCATATATGTATCAAGTTTGTATGCCACTCTGTTAAAGGTGAAAGATAAATGTGTCTATTAAAAAGACTGGAAATAACATGTATCAGAAGAATGAAATTAAATTGGCTGCAGTGAGTTTCACATTCTGCTAGTGAATGGCAGCAAAAGACCATAAAAGAAATCTAAAAAGATACAGTGACAAGAAAAAAAGAATCAGGTTTATATGACAGAATTGGTGAAAGTAAGACTACGTACTTTTGACAGTACTGATGGCAATGATCTGTGACAACACTGTTTTTACTACATAGTAAATGTTATGACACCCATACAGAATTGTTAGTTATCCAATATAACATAAAACTGTGTGCTTTATCTAAAAAAAGGTAAAGTAATTTTTACAAGAGGGTTAAATCAAACAAGACTATGGGTGCTTTATACTGAAGTACATTTGATAAGCCCTGGAAGTGGCCACCATAGGTCAGAAGTGATTTGACAGCACGTAACATTTGATAAAATCATGCTAACAAGCTTATAGTCAACAAAGGACACATGTATATTAGGTTGAAAGCATATTAATAATGCTTAATTGCTAAAATGAAAGAAGATAAAAGCTTCCAACCTCTATAATATGTTGGAAAAACTGTATAAGTTAACTTAAACAAGGATATAGAAGAAGAAAGGAATAATTATTTGCTGCTTTGCTTTTCTGGCTGGCATTTTTCCATCTTAGGGTAAAAGAAAATATATGTTCTATTAGTTTTATGGTATTTTTATTTCAATTGTTATTAGTCCCGGCTTCTGGCTCTTAGAAATAAGCTCTTTTCCCCTAAGATGTTTTCTATTAACAATTTTTAGCATAATAACATTTTTTTACCATTTTGGAATGTGTTTTTAAAATAATTTATTTTTCCCCTGTCAGTGTTCTTCATTCTCCAGCTTTCACACCCATGCATAGTAACTGGGAATATAATAATGTGAATGATCTTGGCCAATTATAGATCCTTTAACTTTTCTAGTTCTCAGAAGACAACAGTAGTGTTAAAAAACACTGTCATAGATTTTAAAATCTTAAATCTGGCATGTTCTTAAAACTGCTATTATACAAATTACTTACATAAAATGGATTACTGGGTGGTGTTAAGAAACATCAACACATTTGTCCCACCCTGGCCACCCTGCATTAGTTACCTGTCTCTTTCTGTTCCAGTTTCAAAGTGATGGTGTCAACTTATAAAGTCCTAAATAGTTTAGGGCCTCGATGGTTGACCAAATGCCTCCTCCTGACAAGATCTGCCCATTCCATACAATCTACCCAGTCCGGTTGGTGAGAGTTTTGACCCCAAGAGAGGCCCAGAAAGTGAGAACCAGAAACCGGGCCTTCTTGGTGGGTTGCTCCTCAGCTCTGGAACAAGCTCCTGCCCAAAATCTGCCTGGCCCCTTCACTGGGAATTTTTAAGCAACTGTTGAAAACGTGGCTTTTCCAGCAGGCCTTCCTAGACCTTACAACATCCTAATTTCAACACCAGTGAGTGGTCTCAAATATACTATGACTCCTCCTGTCTTGCTCTATATCATTTTATATTATTTTAACTATTTTATTTAAATTGTTGGTTGTTTTATCTTTATTTTGATTTTGTTTTATTATTTTCATTGTTAGTATAGTGTATATTTTATTTATCTAACATTTAAACCGCACAGAGTGGCCTAGTAGCAAGATGGGTGGTATAGAAGCCAAATAAATAAATATTTGGGGGTGGAGGCAAAACGCAGCCCTCCTAATGTTGTTGGCCTTAAATTCCCATAAGTCATAAGCAGCATAGGTAAAGGTTCCCCTTGACATTTTAGTCAGTCGTGTTCGATTCTAGGGGGCGGTACTCATCCCCGTTTCCAAGCCGTAGAGCCAGCGTTTGTCTGGAGACAGTTTCCATTGTCACATGGCC